TTAAATTCATTAACATAGTCATAAAACATAAACACTCCCAAGTGATATTCTTATTTGTGCACTCGTCTCATTGGTAATCCTAATCTCATCATCTGATTAAAATCCCATTTAAATGTTAACCAACCATTTCATAACCAAACACGTATGTGCACCATAATCACAACAGTTTCAGCATCAACAATAACACTACTCGTAATTAAATTCCACTGACCAAATGCCAAGAGCCACAATCCAATAACACCCAATTACGACTGTGCCTTAATAACAGAAACGGAAACGCTTTGGAATGGATCTTAAATCCAGTTGTGCTCGGCAAACTTTAATATCGACCACGTCAAATTGGCACCTTGATACGATCAGACCTGGTGATAGATAAATGCCTCAAAACAATAACGTATCAAACGCCTCGGAATTTTAATAACAGCCCGTCTTCAAGGAATTGGTAGAATTTGCGTAAAATGACCAAAATACCCCTGGGACCAAATCTGCAAAACAAACACCTCCATCACTTGTTAGTGGTTAGCAAATGTAAATATGAGATGATATGCGAAATGACTGACTAAATATAAGGGTAAAATTTGGGGTATTACAGATATGATTGAAATTGAAATTGAAATGTGGTATATAATTCTAACATTCATTTACGATTCCAATGCAAAATAGCTAATGGAATAAAGAAAATTGGCATGGGCTGAAAAACCACAAAAAAAATACAATAACTTACATCAAACGCAAAGCTATGAATCTTTTGGGAAAAAAATAAGAGCATCCTCCTTAGAATTATTGAATGGTATCAAAATGACATAATGATTTGATAGAGTCGAATTTCATTATGTAGCGAGGGTTGAAAATCAGATGGCGGATGCCTTGGCAATGTTACCATTAATGTATAAAGTGAATTACTGGAATGAAGCTCCAACGATCACTATTATGCGCCTTGACAGGCCGGCCTTCGTATTTGCAATTGAAAAAGCGTCGGATGGAAAGCCCTGGTATTTTGACATCAGACATTTCCTCAAGACTCAAGAGTATCCGCCAGGGGCATCAAGTAAAGATAAGAAGACTTTAAGGACGCTGTCGGGAAATTTCTACTTGAACAAGGATGATGTGTTGTACAAAAGAAACTTTGACATGGTGTTGCTACGTTGTATGGATGAGCATGAAGCAAGCTTGACCACGAAGGTTCTTTTGGTACTCATCCCGGTGGACATGCAATATCGAGAAAACTGTTAAAAGAATTTTTAATTGAGAGGTTCAACATCTGCCAATAATGCAAAGCGGATGATATCACCTTCATCATTTACTGCATTATCAGGAATTACCTCATAATTGTTCAACCTTCTTGGAGCTTGTCTGATTCTTTGAGGTCTCACAACTACTTCCTCTTCTTCTGGTTCATCTGCATCATTATTGTTCACTTCTTCATTATCTTATTCATCACTTGAATCAGGATAAATGCAGCTTTGTTGATTCTCTGTACTGTATACTAGCTCCCCTTCTGATTTCCACTTCTCAGCCTCATTCATAATCACATCTCTACTGACATGTACCTTTTGAGTTAGAGGATTATACATCTTATAGGCACCTGTTGGATGATATCCTATAAGTATCATAATTTCACTCTTATCTTCAAGCTTGCTTCTTCTAACATCTGGTACATGTTTGTAACACAAAGATCCAAAAACTTTGAAATGCTTCACACTAGGCTTTCTTCCATACCAAGTTTCCTCTGGTACCTTCAAATTCAGCTTCTTTGTAGGACATTTATTCAGAATGTAAGTAGTTGTAGTAATTGTTTCACCTCAAAAGTTGTATGGTAGGTTTTTCTGCTTGATCACGCTTCTTGCCATATTCAGTAGAGTTCTATTCCTTCTCTCAGCAAGTCCATTATGCTGAGGTGTATAGGGAGTTGTTACCTCATGCATAATGCCTAGATTGACACAGAAGGCTTCAAATTATTTTGAGATGTATTCTCCTCCACCATCAGTTCTCAAGATCTTAATAGATTTATCATTCTTCTTTTCTATTAAGATTTTGAATTTTTTTAATACATCTAAAGTCTCACTCTTAAGCTTTATTGTATATAGTCATATCATTCTTATACATTCATCAACAAATGTGATGAAATATCTTCTTCCCCCTAATGAGGATACTTCAAAAGGGCCACATATATCAGAGTGAACCACCTGTAGTGCTACACTAGCTCTTTTAGGTGCTTCAGAAACAAAGGAAAGCCTATTTTGCTTGCTCTTTACATATACTTCACAAATGGTTTTTCTAACATTCAATTTTGGTAAGCCATACATCAGTTTTTTAGAATTCAAATCACTAAGACTTCTAAAGTTTAGGTGATCATACCTCTTATGCCATAGATCTTCAACATCTTCACTCATTACTGCAGACAGGCACATCATCTTTTTACTTGAGATGTTGCATCTATATGTTCTATTCTCTGACATGTTTGATTTAAGCACCAAATTCTTCTTTGCATCAAACAACTTCAAAGAGTCACCATCCATAGTCACTGAGAATCCTTTCTCCACTAGTTGACCAACGTTTATGAGATTACACTTCATCTCAAGAACATACATCACATCTTCAATAATGATTCTCTTGCCATCATTGCTTCTGATCACTATATTTCCACTACCTTCAGCCACAAGATCTCTACTGTCAGCCAGTTTGATGCTTTTTTTCTTGCTAGCATAAAAACTTGTAAATCACTCTCTATGTGATGTCATGTGATTTGAGCACCCATATTCAAGAAACCACTTTTCATTTTTCACCCTTTCATCACTGGTAGTATCCATCATCAACATTGTAATGGAATCATTTCCACGAGCCAAATTTGCTTCATCATCAATCTTTTGACCTTTCTTGAATCAACATTCATCAGCAAAATGCCCATACTTCTCACAGTTGAAGCATTACACCTTACTATTGTCAAAATCCCTCTTCTTGTTCTAACATTTGCCAAAACCTCCTCTCTTTGAAGATTAAGCCTTTTCTTCACTCTTGTTCTTTTCATTGTTGGGCTAATTTGCTTTGCTTTTTCCCTTCTTGAAATTCTTCTGATTTCCCTTCTTCTTGGATGTTTGAGCTTGAAATGCTTGTTGAACTTATCTCTCAGAACTTCTATCAAACACAGGGAGCTCATGTGCTTCCAATGTGTTTTTCAACTCTTCAATTTTCATAGTTTCACATCCTTTGCTTCTTAGATAGCTACGAATATAAAATAAAACTTTGGACTCAAAGATCTCAACATCTTTTCTACTACCATTTGATCTGTAATATTTTCACCACAAGTTTGCATCTGATTAACAGTGACTGTTAATTTTAAAAAGTAGTCACTTACTTTCTAATCTTCTTCCATCTACATCATCCTGTACTTTCTTCTATGGGATTGTAGCTTCACTTGCTTCACCTTTTCTCCACCGGTGTGATAACTTTCTAAATTGTCTCATGCTTCTTTAGATCTTGTCGCCTTAGAAATCTTCTCAAAGTGTTGATTGTCAACATTCTGCTGAATATAGAACAAAACTTTGCAGTCTTTCTTCTTGGCTTCCTTGAATGCAGTTCTCTGTGCATCAGTTGCATTTGCCACCAGATCCTCATAGCCATTTTTCATAATTTCACTCACTTCTTGTGCTCCAAATAAGGACTTCATCAAACACTCCAACGATTTCAGTTGTTGCCATCAAGAACCAAAATATTTGATCCAAAATCATTGCTATTCATCTTACCTATCAAGAAACTATCACTCAGTGTTTTCCTTGGATTGAACCCCCTCACTTTTCACTTGTGTTTTCCTTGGATTGAACCAGGCTCTAGATGTCAATTGTTAGAACAAAGGCACTATGATGAACACACAGTGAATACGCAACAAGATTTCAAGATGAAAGTAATAGCGCGCACACACACACTTTAATGTCTTGACCTCTTGGAGGAGAAGAAAAAGAAAGAATAATAGAAATAATTATCATTATTATTTTATTTCACATTACAAGCTGGTATTTATATGTGTTACTCAATGTATGTAAGAGTCAATTTGAATGAAACAAAATGCTAACTAATTAGTACACATGACAATTATCAATTAAAACTCAACAAGAGGGAGGATTACTCAAGCGGATGAGGTTAAACTGGAGATTATGAATCATTTTAAGAAAAGATTCAAATAACCTTTAACTACTAGACCTCTTTTGGAGGGTGTTGAGTTCAAGCATTTGTCTGATGAAGATAGGATCTTTCTTGAGGCTCTTTTCCAGTATGAAGAGGCAGAGGAGATTATGTGCAAGAGTGGTCTGGAAAAAGTCCAAGTACATATGGGAACATCATAAAGAGGTAGAAGAGATTATGTGCAAGAGGGGTCTGGAAAAAGTCCAAGTACATATGGGAACAACATGGGTTTCTTTAATGCTGGTTGGGATGTTTTGAAGGAGGATGTGTTTAAATTTGTGAATGAATTCTATCTTAATGCTAAGCTCCTAAAATTAGTGACAACCTTTTTACTAGATTCGATTCTCAAATCAGATAACCCTCAAAGCATTAACAAATTCAAACCCATCTGTTTTGTAAGAAGACTCTAAAGGTATGTGTTAAGGGACCCTTTTTTTTGTTTATCATGTTGTTGAAGGTCTAAAATCTCTAGTTCACACTATAATTTTGTTAAATTCAAAATCGATGATTCAATTTTATTTTACAAGCCAAATGATATGATTGAAATTGAAATTAAAATGTGGTATATAATTCTAACACTCATTTACGATTCCAATGCAAAATAGCTAGTAGAATAAAAAAATTGGCAAATCAGACTGGGCTGAAAAACCATAAAAAGATACAATAACTTACATCAAACCCAAAGCTATGAATCTTTTGGGGAAAAAATAAGAGCTTCCTCCTTAGAATTATTGAATGGTATCAAAATGACATAATGATTGGATCAACAAAAATAATAATGAAATTACAGATACTCTTGTAAATCACACACACCACAAAAATCACCATTTAAGCACCGTCTTTTTGTGCCTATGGTGCTTAGGAATGGATGAAAAGAAAGGAACTCCAGTTTCTTCAATCCAGTCTTTTCCATGGAAGAATTTGGATGGTGCAAACCAATGTGCAGCCTTTGAGTTAAGGTTCCATATTCCGGCCCAATGCACACGCTTTGATTTGTCTGAACCAGGTCCATAGTTATGATATTCCGCGTAGAAGCAAGTGTCCATGCCGGAAAATCCTTCAGGTGTTTGCCATGGCATGTAACCGTCGGGGTGGATCAAATCGTCGATGAAGGTATCCATGAAGATGGTTCTAGAGAAATTCTTCCACGGACGAGCAAGGTAGGCCTTGTGGTCGAATCTGACCGGGTAGAACTCGGGATCAGAAACAATGGAACCTCCTTGAATGACTATGGCTGATGGCTGGAATCTTTCTTTCCTTCCTTGTGCCGTTACAATGCATTGTTGGTTTGACATAGGCTTCCTGACCACGAATGTGCAGTTTTGGAATACGGACAAGGCATTGCCAAAGATGAAATCAATGGTACCGGAAATGGTGCAATCACGGTAGAATTGACGCATGGTGTGCACATAAAGTGTATCTTGATACCCATCCATTGAACAATTGAAGAAGATGGATTTATCTCCTTGAACTCTTAATGCCACAGCTTGATGCTTGTGGGCACCGGCCGAGTTCTCAAAGCCCATATTAATAGCAGTAAAATGATCTCCTTGAATAGCTGCAACCATACACACATAAAATACTTAATTTATAATAAAGATAATACATAAATAGAAGATAAATAGAAGGTAAACGAGCCATAAGCATACCAACTGAGGCAGTTTTATAAGTGTTAACACCGTCGATAAAGTTTTTGTTGCCAGTGATTCTTGATTTCTGGCCACCGTCACCAACAAACACAACATAGGTCATTTTCTTGTTAACTTCAACATACTCATTGTAAACACCCTCCTTAATGTAGATGATAAACGGTTTTTCGCTCTTCTCAGGAACCTTCAACAAAGCCTCGTTGATGGTCTTAACATCACCGGTACCATCCAAAGCGACGGTAACATTAGGCTTACGTTTGAATGAGCTTGTTTTAGCATCAAAGAGCATGCGATGTTCACTGACCCATGAAGGTGTATCGGAGTCAAGAAGACGACGTTGTCCGAAAAGGTTGCTGGTGTTCCAGTTATCAAAAGTGTCAGCAAAGTCTGAAATGATGGCAAGAGCATTGCTACTCATGTGCATGCTTGATGTCAATATCTCTTTCATCTTCTTACCAGCATCAGTAGTAGTGTTCTCAAATCCATCGACGCAAGTATCCATGTATGTAACTGCACCATTGAGCCAAACCTTCAAATTCATGAGAATTCGGTCAATGTCATTAAGATTAAACTGGTCAATTCCATCAATTGCTCTTGTGAATTCTCCAATGGAAAGATCCATTAGTTGCTTGCAAGTTTCAAGAGCATCCTTTGATCTAGGATCCTTCTCAACCTCATGTATAAGATCAGTTGCCTTGATTTGTTCACCAATTTTCTTCATGGCAACGTTGAATGCTATTTTAATAAGTTCTTTCGGATCGGTCACATTCCCCGCCTGAGCTTCAGCTGTGAGGGTTTCCACACATTCCTTCTTGTAATCAGTGGGTTGGCAAATGGATTGTACAGCTCTCATGGTAGAAGAAACATGGTTTCTTCTACTATCTTCGATATCGTTGTCCGCACCATATTCGTTACGACTGGCGCCAATAGTGACAGCGACAACCATAGCCACTAACAACAAGGTAGATACACCAATTATCGCGATTCTTCTTCCTTTCTGTGCATCACCACCCTCTGACATTTTTGTGGATTAGTTTAGCACAGAAACAAACAAAAAAAGGAAGAGGTATAATTGGCTTGTGGGGATCCTGCTATCCTCAGCTAAACGGAGAATGGATTAGTATGTGGTCATAGCTATTCGTTTCAACAAATAGTAAAACGGAGAATGTGACCCTGAGGATTAACATGCAATGTTGAAAGTATTTATACGGACGGAAATGGATTAATATGTGGTCATAGCTATTCGTTTCCACAAATAGTAAAACACGGAAGCCACACAATTTTTATGGTTAAATGATTACTTGACTAATTAAGCTTAGACTTGATTTTAGTTAATTCTAATTCAAACTCGTTCTTAAAGGAGTTTACCATTATTACATCTCATATATTCTTTCATAATTGTCGATTCTTGATAAACTCTATGATAAATTTTCATAATTAAGTGTTTATGAAAATTTGCATCAATAATATTTTGATTTTGATTATTGTTTATGAATATATCTTCTCTAAGATAAACATGAGTATTTATATCATATATTTTACACATGAGAGTTTAATATTGTTTTTTTTTATTGTAAAATATATCTATTTAATCTTGACGGTAGATATAATATACATTTTTGAGATGTATATATTTTGAAGATTGTTATAATATTAGTATTGTTATAATACTAATTACGTTCATCAAAGTTTACATAAAGGAAGTCTTTCGGTTTTTTTTTTGTTTTTTTTTTTTAAAATACTGTTGTAATTCTTTAAATTATTTTAAAATATTAAATTAGTGTTTTAAGTATTTCTTTTGTAACATTTTGCTCCTTTATGTAAAGTAACGTTTGTATTGTTGATTTTTTTAAAAATCTCTGTTACAATAAATTGCAAACTCATATATCATTTGAACTAGTTTTTCACACTGATCACGAATATGTAATTAGTTTTGCGTTTAATTGTGTATTTTGGTCGGATCGAATGATTTTTCATTATGTATTTGTCCCTTTTTCCCCTGATTCTCATGAACCGTAACTTGTTTGATAAATTTGATTGTATATTCGTGATCAGCGCGAAAAACCAGTTCAAATGATATATGAGTTTGCAATTCATTGTAACAGAGATTTTTAAAAAGATCAACAATGCAAATGTTACTTAACATAAAAGACCAAAGCGTTACAAAAAAAAACTTAAAGAACTAACTTGATATTTTAAAATAACTTAAAGAATCTAGACAGTATTTTTGCCTTTTTTTTCGATTTCTTTATGGAATGGAGCAAGGCAAGAAGGAGAGGATTTAGGAATCTACCACCCAGGTGGAATTCTTGTCTGGTGTCTAGGAAGGTTTAGGAAGGGGAGGAATTTCGGTTTACTTCCATATTTTTATCAGAAATACCATAGAGGATTAAAGCATCTGATGTTTTTGAGTTGTTCAATTGTATAGGAGATGTTATTGAGATTATGATACCTCCAAAAAGAAACAAGTTTGGGAAGAGATTCGGATTCGCAAGGTTTAAGGATGTGGTTGATGCAAGGCATCTTGCAGTGAAGTTGAACAACATTATCATTGACAAGAAAAAGATACATGCAAATATTCCTAGGTTCGTTAGGAGTGGGGTGTTTGCTAAGGTTGGAGTGGAAGGTGGTCGAGATGGTAGTAAAAATTATGTAGGATCGGTTTCAGAGTCTGGAAAGCGGGGTTGGAGGGAAGGGGGAGTGATAGTAAGGTTGGAACTAAATCATTTGCTGAGATAGTCAAGAACAAATAAGATCATTTTCCAGAGTTCACAGCGGTCAATTTGGAAAGCATCTGTTTCAAAGCATTGGCAATCTTTGCATTGTGTGTATCCCCACAGTTTGCAAATTTCCGGGTTCTTTTGATATTCAATCCCCTTTTACCTTGAATGTGTGAAAGCGGTTGCTTTTCATCCCTTCAGGTCCAAGTTGTTTGAATAGGGGCAGCTGTAGCGCCCCAAAAATTTTCCATCTTTTCTCTTGGATCTTAGATTTTGGATTTTGTTTCATTTCATTTTCTTATTCATTTTTGTATAGCATTGTTCTTGACAAAGGATCAAGGCATCATGGTTTATTTCTCAAGATAGGAGGAACATGTTTCTTCAACCACAAGCAATGTTTCTTGTTGACTTTATGGTATTCTCAAATCCTCAAAGGTCCCTCATCATCAAGTATCATTCAAGGTAACATCATTTCAAGACCATAGGTGGTTCACCATAGCTTGGTTTGCAAGAAATCATTAAGAGATTCAAGTTTGGTTTAAGGTGTTTGACCTAATTTAGCAATTTGTGGATGCTATGATCAAATGGGCATAACTCCTTCATTTTTCAACATCTTGAGGTGGTTCTTTTTCTAATGAACTATTCTCATCATCCCCAACAAGTTCTCTTTGCAAAAAGGACCTAATTATGCTTGGAAAGTCATCAAAAGTTTGAAGACATTATAGGTCATTTTGAGTTTTGGAAGGATTTTCTAGTCAACTTCAAAAGGTCATAACTTGATTAATTTTCATCATTTGGAATCCATTTATTTTTTAAAATGAACTTTAAGATGTCCTCTACAACTTTGATTCAAGGTGGAAGTGCTCAAAACCTATAGAAGGTCTTGATTTTTGTCAAAACATTATAGGTCATTTTTGGTCCTTAAAATACTTTAAAAATTTCCGTGTTTTGCAATTGTGAACCTTTTCATGGAAGCTACTTTGAAGGATCATATCTCTCAACTCAGATTGCCAAATCAATACTTTCTTTTCACATTACAAAGTTGGCATCATCCTCTATCCAATACAAGAAAAATCATCTCAAAAAGCCTCTTACATTGTGAGAACCATGATGCCAAAATTTGAATCCTAAAGCTGAAAATCCACTTCAAGTCAAAATTAATTTTGTTTGAATTAGCCTTTAATCACCAAATTAAGCCACGAATTCAATCTAAACATGATTAACCAAATTTCTTGGGTTGATTAGAGCCTTGAAACACAAGGTTTTAGTGAGTTTTGACAACTTTCAAGTCACACTTTGCTCATTCCACTCATTTTCACAAGTTTTGATAGCCAGAATCACCCTACTGGGATCCCATTTGAACTCTTAAACTTGAACTTCAAATTTTCATTTCCACACCCTAAACACTCAAATTCTCCATTCAGTTAGCATCACCAACATTCAGTGAAGCTAACCCGCTCAAGAACTTGAAAGATCATGACCTGAATCAAGTTAGAGGACTCCATTTTCAAAGCTCTGAAGTTGAACTTCAACAGGTACAATTCTTAACCATTTTAACTCAAATTTGTTGATAAGATGTAGTCCTTGATGTGCTGATGATGTTAGAATTGCTAGATTTTGGTTTTGGTTGAGTTTTGATGCTTAATTTTCAAATCCGTGTTTGCTTTTCTTTCTGTTTTTTTTCAAATCGAGTGACTTATGGTTTAAAGAAATATGGCGTGATGATATGGTTGAGATCGTCCAGAAAAGACGCATCAAATGATATCACTATGAGCTCCAATGGTTATGGTTTGATGGATCCATGAATTTGTGCAATTCTCTGATATTTTTCAATGGCTGGAGGTTGAAGATGATGATTTCACCGTCCATCATGCCACTTGTTTTAATCTTGTGCTTTTGACTTTCGCTGGTTGGAAATGATGAGATTTACTCAGATCCATCGCGGATGCGCGCTTTCTGACCTTTGGATTTGCCACATCATTTGAAACTAGATCCAACTCATCTTGTTTTTTGTGTTTTATTTTCTTTTCCTAATTTGTTTTTAAATTTATTTTATTTTCAGAAATTCATAAAAAATTCATTTTTAATCAGAAAAATACCAAAATAATTTCTAAAATTTCCTTTTATTTTTCTCTTTCTGATTTTTATTTTTGGGCATTTTTATTTTTGCATTTGCTATTTTTCTTGAATTTTATTTTGTTTGAGCTAATTTTAATAAGTTTAAAATTGTTTTGTAAGCATTTTAAAATTATGAGAAAAATATTATATGATCCTATGATGGTGTTCAACCTATGGTAATTTTCTTTGTTTTTTATTTCTGGTTTCGATATTTTCCATACATTTTTGATTATTTAGTTAATTTTAATTGGTTTGAAATTATTTTTGAGCCATTTAAAATTATGGGGAAATTAGCACATGATCCTATGATGGTTTCTGACCTATGGTGATGATCTTGGACTTTTGTTTGTGGTCTAGCTATTTTCCATCCCTTTTTAGGTTTTATTTGACATTTTATTTTGATTTTTAATTGATTTTAAATTGTAAGATGATGGTGATATTGCTTTGATCCATTCTTGAGTGATATTTTGTCCCATGTCTTTTGATTTCTTGATGTTTGTTTGATGGTTGTTTCTCTTGGATGTTTGATTTTGATGTTTAATTTCTTCTTGAGGCATGTACTTGTGTGATTCCACTTGTATGATATCCCTTGTGTGTTCATGTTTGAATGTAAACTTGTTGATCATGTGATGTGTGGCTTCATTTTGTTTTCAAGCCATGTTCTCATGCTTTGCCCTTTTGGGATGCTTTGTATGCATGCTTGTATGATTTGGTTTTGCCTTGTATATGGATGGGAAGCATGATTATTTTCTTGTGTGCTCTTGTTTTGATCATTGATATGGCTTGAGTATGATATGTTGTCCTTGCTGCCCTGCCTTGTTTCTTGTGCCATGTGACTTCATCTCATTTTGCTTTGTGTTGATGAATGTTTGATTGATGATTGACTTGGTAATGATATTTGTCTTGTATGAGATTGATATGAATGTGTTTGTTGTTTATCAATGACATATTGTTTAACCATTCTTCATTCTTTTTCTCTCTTCATCTTTCTTTTCTTTCTGGAACTTGTTCAAGTTTTATCTTTGTTTCATTTGTGATTGAATAGGTTGGTGTTTACTTGTGCTTGCTCACATGATCCCTTAGGGTTCCTAGTCCCTTTGTTTAAGATGGGAGTAGGAGAGACAATAGGCTTTCAATCCTTTGCATGATAACAATTAGGATAGTCCATTTTACCTCAACTTTA